GGGGGGGGGGGGGGGGGGGGGGGGGGGACAAGCAACACGTTTCGACACGAAGCCCCTTCCCTAGGGATGAGCGTTTTTCGTCTTAATGGGGGGGGGAGGGGGGGGTTCTCCGGCTTAATTGAGCGTTTCAAAAAACGCGAGCCCTTTGTAAGACGCGTCGGATGGTGGCACAAAAAAAAAAAACTCATCATCATGACAACGTCCTCACCACAACCCCGCCGGACTTGCCAGCGACCCAGTGAATCGACAGGGCGTCATAGAGGACGTCGTACGGGGTCATGCCCAGGTTCTCGTAGATCTGTGCGAGTGTTGGGTGTCGAGGGGAACGGAGGGAGACCGTGCGTCAGAAAAAGGTGTTCGCAGTTTACGAAGTGGGGATGGAAGCAATAAGGAAGAACAAGCGAACCACGCCTAGCTTTCCCAAAAAAACTTCCCACAGACATTTAACAGCGCGGACTTCAATCGTGCATACACGACAACCTAATATCAACGCAAAGGGGCACAAAACCCAGCACAACCATTCGCCATCCGATACAGATCTCGCGCCAACAAACTCTGCCATCATCAATACACCGAAAAACCTAACGCCAACGGTCGATGTGTAACGCAGACACATTTACCTCCGAGGGGCAGCTGGCGCGACACGTGCTGTCGTCGCCGGTGCCGTGCTCTTCCACGGTGCAAGAAGTCGGAATGCGGAGATAACCCTTCCTCCAGAGGAACTTGGCCATCAGGGGAACTTCGTCCGCGTACCCTGCGCATTTCGTTGGCATCGTGGTCACGACATATACAAAACTGAACATCCTAGTGCTCTTCGTATGCCAGCACGTTAAAGGAAACGAGAGAACCTACACGTGTAATCGACTGAACACAAAGCGACACACGAGAAGCCGTGCTCCCGATCATCATGACAAGTGGCACAGCAAAATCGAATACTGGGTAGGATACCCGCACATGGCAATCACGAGCGTGTGACAAACAAAGAAAGCGTTATTACTTGCAACCTTCGGAAACGGTCAATACCCGGACCCTCTTCCTGCCTACTCCCCAACTCCTCCCCCCCCCAAAAAAAACACGAACGCGCACACACGCACACGCACGCACAAGGGGGGGCTCCGCACCTAGCGAGTTAGTCAGTTCCTCCTCGGGGTTGTTCCACTCCCCCCCCATCTTGATGTGCACCGGTCCGTGGGTGCCCCCGTTCAGGCAGTTGAACAGTCCCGCCAGGGTCGTCTCGTCGAAGCAGTTCTGGTACATCCCGCAGGTGACCACGCTCGTGATGTCCTGTTACATGGTGGCGAAGGAAGCACCAGCAGCAGCACCAGCAGCACCAGCAGCGAAGAAACACCGATTGGGCGACAACGGGGTTGTCGTTAGGGATGAGGTTTGTTCAAACGCGTCAACATTGTCTGGGTAGTGGTGTTGTATTGATTTCGCGGGGGGGCGCGGGAATTAGGTTCCAGGACAACCATCAACCACGTCTCACAAAAACAAACAAGCATCCAGGAACTTTTCTGTAGGCAAAATTAGGAGGGGGTGGGCGGTAGCACTTCAGCATGAGCATACCTGAACAACTATCAGGGTTGCTAAGTTCGGAATCAAGACTCCAGCGACCACCAAAGGAATAGATCGATGTAACGGCAGACATACCTGGGCATTCGTCATGTTGTGGCGGGTGACGTACGGTGTCGGGTCGGTGTTCCAGGGGGTACGCAGAAGGCCGTACGGGTTGTGCACGTAGTCCCATGCGTCCTGCGACATGTGAAAATCAGGCACCAACAGGCGCCGAGAAAGAGCGGTGTAAGTACAACACGTACACAAACGCAAGGCCAAATAATGTTAAAACGAAACAACTGACAAAGGTCTGAGGTGCCCAGCGCGCACAAATAACGAGTGATACTCGGTTGCATCCTGAGTGAAATGTCTCGCCCGAGTGAAAAGAGCAAGAGAAAGCAGGAAAGGGCACGCTCGAAAAAGCAAAAACAATGGTCAGGAAAACAAAGAGCGCGCTCGGGCTATGTTGAGCAAAACGTACCGCGCAACGACCGACACAACCACCGGTCGCCCCGGTGGTCCAGTGGTGTCCTCGTAATCCGCTAAACGCAGGGGTCGTGAGTTCGAATCCCCATGGGGCGTAGAATTTACGACATAGGCGGGTGAAAGCGAGACATAGCTGACAAGCTCTCGTGAGTACCAAACTTCGACGTTAGCACCGTTGACGAGGGAAAGGGACCGCTGGACCCTTCTCGCAATAAAAAATAAAACTCAGCACGCACCGCAGGAGGAAGGTGGGGCATGAAAAGAAGTAAAACGAAGAGAAAAGCCCTGGTGTTTTTATTTACCCCGTCCTGTGCGACCCTGAATGGTTGTAATTGTACGAAAAAATACACTGAAAAGCGTAGTACTCTACATACGCTTGAAAAGTGTAGTACACGTTTCCNTCGACGTTAGCACCGTTGACGAGGGAAAGGGACCGCTGGACCCTTCTCGCAATAAAAAATAAAACTCAGCACGCACCGCAGGAGGAAGGTGGGGCATGAAAAGAAGTAAAACGAAGAGAAAAGCCCTGGTGTTTTTATTTACCCCGTCCTGTGCGACCCTGAATGGTTGTAATTGTACGAAAAAATACACTGAAAAGCGTAGTACTCTACATACGCTTGAAAAGTGTAGTACACGTTTCCCCACGAAAAATGGGGAGACTGTCGCCATAATAAATAGGACGAAAACACAAAACACACACTACCAGTGCGGCAACAACAACAACAACAACAAACACGGACACAGAGCGAGAGCCAATATCTCACCCTACACCCACACACACAAATTCGATGGGAACCAACATACTCCGTAATACCTATAAATGGTGTCGACTGTTGGATGGATATATATGATAAGACCAGTCAACGTGCAGTGCAGCACAGCAATAGCGGGACTCGCCTGCATCACTGGGAGGTAGGCCCACCGTCCGTTGTCGACGGTGTGCATAGCATTGTTGGGGGAGGCGTCGCCGAACCAGTCGGGATCGAAGATCTGCGACTCCCCGTAGTCCGTCAGCCCTTGCGAGTCTGCAACAACGACGGAGTCGACGAAACATCAGCGATGCTGCCCATGAAAAACGAAATCGTAACCGTAGACTAATATTTTACATCCTACAATAGCACGAAGAGAACTCCAACTTTACGGTATACACAAATATGTCGGCATCTATCACGCAACGACTCAAAAAACTCATCGACAAACGAACAACAAACTGTCAGCGGGACTCTTGCAATGCACTCCGTCCAGGAAACCGAGCAAAACCAAACAGAAGAGAGAACGTCCTCCCCAGCATACGGCACCCACATTCGATCGTGTACTCCCAGTAGGGAATGGTGACGGCGGGATCGACCACCTGCAGAGCCTGCTCGAACAGCATGGTGTACCCCACGTGGTGCGTCATGATGCCTGCCAGAGAAGACCAACGGTTGACAGACGTGTCGCAAGCGACAAAAACGACGGCCAGGGTTACGTTTCGTAATCCAACTTCAGACACAAGGACAACTTCCGCACACAACCAGACGTGCGCATACACGCGATCAAAGGAACCGACCGCGTCTAGGCGTCAACATGATCGGGGCTAAAATAACGCTGCAGAACCTAGCTTGCGACAAGACTGGACAGATCGGATTTGCATTGCACTGCTGTTGAATTTGATTTGCAAGGAAGGGCCGCTCGCCCCTGTTCTACAAGCCACCCACCGGCATCGTCGTGCCAGTGGTCGCAGTCGCTCACGCCAGCCCCGTCCAGGTGCATCTGCACGAAAAANGGGGGGGGGGGGGGGGGGGGGGGGGGGGGGGGGGGGGGGGGGGGGGGGGGGGGGGGGGGGGGGGGGGGGGGGTACTCGTTAGTCGTGCATGCCGTAGACCTTAGACCATAGACATCGCATTCTAACAAAGCCCGGACGGAGCATGCCGGGTTCGGGGGGGGTAATTATTTACTTGAGTAAAGTCGAAGGATCACCACGGCACAACGACATGACGGAATGCCAAAAACGGTGTCGACCAAATTGGGACGGGTGGCTGCATGTATTCCGGTTCTTAAAGTGCACCTATGGTACGATCACGCTGCTTGGCGCCGCCGAGTGTTGCGGGGACGGCATTGCACCTGGAGCCTAGAGCCCGCAGCTCATTGAGGAATTGGACCAAAACCAGGCAAAAAAGAACAGCAAACTGGGGTTGGGGAGCTCCTCACGCCCCTCTCACCTTGTAGTCGTCACCGTACAGTGCGACACCCTCCTCGGTAGGCAGGCGGTAAAGCGTCTCCATGGCATCCAAAAAAGCCTCCCTGTCCTCGGCCCTAAGCTGACGGACCTCTCGCCGCACGTACTGCGCACGCCAAACGCAACAAACAGCAAGAGCAACATGACACTTCAACCTTCCACGTTCTTCGTGCTGTACACACATCGGGAAGGGCACGGCGATTTCGGGTCACGCACTTCGACCGCGTCTGCGTCGCGTTCTCTGTGCGTCGACAAAACGCATGCACAAACACACACACACACACACACACACCTTGACCATCACCGTGTCTTCGATCTGTACGATGCGGCCCGTTGAGACGATGGTCTGCGCCAGGAAGACTGTTTGCGCGCCCACACCCTTGAAAATGTACGTGACCTCCCTGCAAAACCACACGAAACGACGACGAGAACAAGGTAAAAGGTACACACACGGGGCCGAAGCGGGTCAGAGACGCATTATTGTTTACTGGCAGTATATATCGTTGCTGCAGAAGTGAGGCCTTCGAAAATACATCTCGGAAAACGGACACCAGCGAAAAACACCGACGGAGGAAAAAAAACATGATACTGTACTTGATAAAAAGAGTACATACCTCCCCTCCAGCACGGTGCCATCCTCGAAGGACCACTTGAACACGTCCTTGTCCGGGTCCCCGACGCTCGAGCCGGCCGTCAGCGTCGTCTCTCGGAACGGCTCCGCCAGCTTCGCCCAAGCCGAGTTCGCCAGTCGCGGGTAGGCGTTCGAGGTGTCGAGCCATAAGTCATTGGCCGTTGCGTATTCTGCCCCTGTTCATGCCACGTAGGCGGGGG